AGAGTCTGCAACCTTCCATTCCAACACTCCAGTCATAGGAGCCATCCCACCATGTTTCTGTGATGCCTGTTATATCATACCCCCATAGATGAGCATACATCTCTAATTCCTCTTGTTTGCTCCCCATGCTACGGGCATTTGTATAAAGGCACCTGAGCCGAGCTCCAAATGAAGCTGGCTCATTGGCTGGAGCAGCTGGAATATCTCTGCATTGCTCCAAGCATTTATTATAGGTGCTGGCAGCTGACTGGGTATGTTGGGATGGAATGATGCCCCCCTCCCCCAACACATCTAGTTTAAAGCCTCCTTGACCAGTCTGGCAAGCCTCCTACCAAAACTGCTCTTCAGACCAGCTCCACCAGCCCCCGCTAGACCTGGCCTACAAACTTGGGTCCCATGTTCAAGACACCCAAACCCCTGACTATGGCACCACCCTTTTAACCATTTATTAACCTGGCTAATCCTCCTAGCTTTTTTTAGGTCCTCCCCTGTATCCTGGAGAGTAGACGAAAAGACTATCTGAGCTCCAGAGCCCTTAACCACCTCTCCCAGGGCTCTGTAGTCCTTCTTTATGTTCCCCAGGCTAATACTATCTATATCCCTAGCACCCACATGTATCACCAGAGTGGGTAATAGTCCGTGGGGCTTACCAGAGCAGGCAGCCTCTCTGCCACATCCCTGATCCGTGCCCCTGGTAGGCAACACACCTGCCTGGAGACCGGGTCAGGCTGACAGACGAGTGCTTCTGTCCCTTTCAAAGGAGAATCCCCTACTACTACGACCCGCCACTTTTTCCTGGCAGCACCAGTAGAGATCTTCTTTACTAGTGCATCAGCCGGCTGTTTCTGGTGCAAGTGCATTTGCCCATGAGCCCCTTGCAGGACAGCAAAGAAGTTTTGCATGGGGGCAACAGGTTTAGGAGGAAGCCCCTTGCTTTTAATTGTCCTTTTCCTCCTTTTTTGGTTGTTTTTTTTTTTCACCAATTCCCAGCTTCGAGGGTTAACAACCTCCTTCTTTCCTCCCTGAGCTGCAGGGGAAGCTTGAGGACTGCACAGTTTGGGCAGGGAGCAAGCATTCCTGCTTCTTCTCAGCTACCCTGACATCTTGTAGCCTATTAATAGCTCCCTGCAGCTCAGCCACCTGCTGCAGGAGGACCTCCACCAGGGAGCACCCAGTGCAGCCCTGCCCATTGTGTACCTTTCCCTCACCAATAGAGGTGAGGTGAATTACAATAGAGGTGAGGTGGATAGAGGTGGGTTACAAACTGCTTGTCCCAGTACATGAGTAATTTTGGGTTAGGGTTAGCATTAGGGTTAGGGTTTAAGTGTAGGGTTAGTGTTAGAGTCAAGGTTAGGGGGTTTAGAGTTAGGTTTAGGCTTAGGGTTTGGGTTAGGGGGTAGGGCTTTGGTTAGGGGTATCTTTAGAATTAGGCTTAGGTTCAATGTTTAGTGTTCGGGTTAAGGGCAGGGATTGGGTTAGTGTTAGGTTTAGACTTAGGTGTTAGGGTTATGTTTAGTGTTCTGGTTAGGATTAAGTTTAGGAGTTAGGGATATGTTTAGGGGTTTGGGTTAAGGTTAGACTGAGGGATTAGGTTTTCATTTAGGTTGAATTTTAGGGTTAGGTGTAGAGTTAGGTTTAGGATTACTGGTTTGGGTTAGGTTTAGAGGTGAGGTTTAAAAGTTTGGCTGCCGTATCGTACCCAGTTTTCACCCCTATGGTGGCACTTGGTGATGGGGCAGCCAACCTGGCCCTGGCTGTTCACTGTCATCTGATCTCAGTGTGCCCATGTGACAGCCACCGGCAGGGCTCCATCTCTCAAACTCAGGTCCTGCACTTGGAAGACAAAACATGAATCAGGTCTCAAACTCCATCAGCTCAGCTTGGTTATCAGATGGGTCATTGCTCCTCCTTGAGCTTTGGCTCTGAAAGGAAGCTTCCTGACACCTAGGAAGCATGGCACAGCTGGTGGAAACACCAAGCAGTGCATTGCAGGTTGGTGTCACTGAACTAACCGAGGCCTGGCAGCGGGATCTATGAGCTCACTTTCATTTCTCACATCACAAGATGAGGAATGGGGGAGCAGAAAGAACCATGTGGGTTAAGTGCTTTCCAGCAAGGCACTTCTGTAAAGCAGTTTTAATATAGCACAATTGTGATCGTGAAATTCGCCTCCGTGACCAAAGTGTTTGGTGGTTGTGGGTAAGCAGCTACTTGGCCATAGAGCAGAATCCAAACAGCCCCAGAGGCACCATGCTTTTAGTATTACTGTAGGGATGACCCAGAGCAGAGTTTCTGTCTCTCTGCTGTCCTTTCCTGCATGGTTTTGCAGTCCTGCACTGAAATTGCAAATGCTCGAAGCAGTGGAGGAAACCAACCAGATGCTCCAAGGCAGTGCTGAGCAAGCTGGAAGGCCTGCACATACCTGGGTCTGGGCTGATGTTTGAGGTGGTTACTTCAGCCCTCTCACTATGGGGAAACGTTCTCTCCCCATTTCCCTCTACAAACCCAAAATGGAAAAATGTCTGGTTTCAGCTAGGCAGAATGTGTGATTCCAGCTCTCCATGGAGATGCACTGGCTCTGCTGCCCCCAAACTATGCGAAATGGTTCCAAGGGAAGGCCCTGTGCTGAAGCACCCTCAGGAAGGATGAAGTGTGTGTGAAGGGGGGGCTGTAGGGTAGGATGTTTGCATCCCACCTTCTCAAACCTATTTCTCCTCCTATTTCTGCTGACCAGAGCGCTTCCCTCTTTCCCAACCAGGTGCTCTGGGAAATACCAGAGCCTTTGCCATGCTCTGCCCCCAGTTTGGCACAGGGCTAGCCCACAGGACACACGCACCCCCTCTTTGGTGTACAACAGCAGCTGCCCCAGGCTCAGGCCTCACAAGAAGGTGAAGGCGGCAGAAGGCTCTCACGGCCCTGGAGATGTCTTTTTTTTTTCCCCAGGACTTAGTGCCTGGGCTCTCCTTCACAGATGGGTCATGTTAGCACCGAGCTGAGCACACAGGAGAGGCTGGGAGTGCAGCAGTTAGCACAAACCTGGCCCTGGCTGTTCACTGTTGTCTGATCTCGAAGGTGCCCCCAGAGCATCCCCAGGGGCTCCCTGATGCCTGGCCCTGGGCTGGGCTGGAGACTGCCCATGGCAAACAGCTACTCAATACAAACCCCAGTGTGCCCATGTGACAGCCACCGGAATAATAACACAGCTGTGTCTGAAGAGGGGAGGCCAGTACCCACAAGCAGAGAGGGCTGGAAAGCTGCATCCTCTGCCCTGGCCCAGGAATCAAACACAGGGAAGGCAGATGTGAACATAGACTGTTTATTTGAAGTGGGGACATAAAGAGGGGATAGGGGGTGCGGTGAGGGGTGGGGATTACATATTGACAGTTAAAAAATAGGAAAATGATAGTAAAATCACGGTAAAAACGTCAGTTTAATTGTTACAACAACAGGGGTAGAACAAAGTATAACAAAACCCAATAAATATAAATAACCATAGAACAACAAAACAAGTGCAGTTTAACAACAGTAGAACAAGAATATCAGAACACGTGAAAAACAAACATAGAACAATAAAATCGCCAATGGATCTTCACAGCCGCCAATGTTTTGCTGCTGATGGCCCAAAAGGCCACTTGGCGTCGGAGCTGTCCTCCTCCTTGGGGAAGAACAAAAGCCAAACAGGGCAGGTTCAGTCACATCCACGTGCATCACCATTTAGAAGCAAGGAGCTGCTGTAACAGCTCAGCTAGAAAACCAAAGCATTCTTCCATTAAAGAGCATTTAAATATTTGTGGGGTTTCTGTAATTTAGACTCCCCCACACACACTCCCACGGCTCAGAGAGTAAAGGAGCCGGCAGCAAAGCCCTCCTGGGGTGGTGGGGACCCTGCGGGCAAACAATTTGGATCTGGGGAGGATCCCTGTCGGCTCTGGACGCCCCAGCGGGCTCCAGAGCACCCAAACATGGGGAGGGGCACCAGCAGAGAGGGGAAGAGAAGGGAGCAGAGGGACTGCCAGGGCTGGAGCAAATGTTTGCACCTTAGGAAACACGGCTAAATAAAGCCAGGGAGGAAAGGCTGCAGAGATGCAGAGACGTTCATCCATCCTCAGGGGTGGAACTCTTCCAGTAGGAAGAGCTTTGTTCACCCCATGTCACCCCAGGCACTGCCACCCAGCACGGTTTCTTGCTGGCAGCATAGAAGGGGCCTGACCCCATCACCCCGGTCCTGCCTCGGGGCTGCTCTGGACCAGAGCCCCACAGGTGGGGGGCCAGCAGCACTGGCCGTTACTTATTATGGGAATGATGGATCCATGCCTTTAGCCGCTTGCGAGTTCCCTGGGTCCTGGATCTTGTCAGCATCGAGGAGACAGGGGTGGATGAACCTGGAAGCACAAAGTTTTGCTCAGGTCTCTGCACCCGCACCCCGAGCTGGCACCGGGGCTACCACAATCCCTATCCCAGGAGGAATGGAAGGTTTTGCATCCCCAGAGCCCAGCAGCCACCACCCGGGCCGGCTCCTACAGCACAGCCTGGCCCTTCTGCCATCCCCCAGCCCAAGGGGACAACACGACCCATCAGCTCCTTGACGATGGTGCGGTCCCTCTACTATTGCTTGGAAGACTTATCATAACTGAACTACCAACACTTTAGTGCAGACTCCCTGAAATGGCACAAGCAGTGGAGGCATGGGTCAAGGACCCAGGAAGAGGGGAACTGGAAGGGTAGGGCCGGGACAACGTGCACACTGTCAGCAGAAGGGTCATTGGAAGAGAAATTGCCATCACCTTAGGGCCAAAATCTCTTCCCAGACTCTTCTCATGAATACAGAAACAGCACGAAGGGGACTGGAGACTTCCTCCCCACAGAGCCTCTGGTTACAGTACAGCTGGGAAAAAAACAGGTAGAATTTTTAGTTGATACTGGAGCCTCCTATTCTGTGCTCAATATACTAGAGTCAGTCTTTTCAGTCAAGAAACAGTAACAGTCATTGGTGCCACAGGTGTTGGGGAGAATCACTCATTCTTTAAACCAGTCAAGTCTAAATCAGGAAAGCATTGGGTGACCAACCAATTTTTCCATTTGCCAAACTCCTCTAGAGCACTACTAGGAAGGAAGTGTCACGGTGACCTCTCTTCCGGCCCCTACATGGAGGGGGTGTCCCTGCAGAGCCCTGGGGGTTTCTCTTCCCTTGGACCCTCTGCATATTTTCTTCACCTTCTTGATTCTGCAGTCCCGCGATGCCTCCAGGAAACAGACTATTCTGACCTTGATCCAGCTCTGCCACGGAAACGCTCTTTGTCTGTTGGCATTCAGCATCTGCTCTGGCCTGCTCCTGGCACCTGGAGAAAGGACACTGATCTTAGTTCAGGGTTGTTCTTGCAGCTTCCTCATGGCCTCAGGCCCATCCTCTCTTTTTATGGCAGCACTTGATATGACACAGAAGACTGCACCAGCACTAGGTGCTGGAAATAGAGCATGGTCTTCCAGACAGCTCTGGCACTTTCAGAGGAGTAACTCCCCTTGATACTCTCTTGGGCCTCCCTTTCACCTCTTTCCACAGGTAGCCAGTCTCAGAGAGCAGACAGCTAGCAATTTATACAAGTGCAAGAATTTTGTGCCAAGCAAGGATGGAGAAGAAAGAAGCTGGGGAACTGTAAACCAGACAGAACTCAACTAGACAAACCTAAGGGAGAAAGTAAAACCGCTGGAGAACAGCAACCACAAGATCAGGAACAAGAGAGGGACGGTATTCTCAACACCCTTTCCCACTTGCTCTTACCTGACACAGAAGAGTAAATATGCATGTTGGCAGAGAACTGTCTTGAGACAGTTCTCTGCCTGTCTTGAGAACAAAGAGCCGCAGAGTCATCGGTCACCTCCTACAAATGCCTGAGGTTGGCCTGCAAAGAAAGGCAACACCATCTTTGGATGAACTGCAGAGTTTAGGGAAAAAAAGCTGTTGATGGGGTTTCAGAGAAAGGAACACGCAGTACAGAGTCTGAGGGCTCTGAATGGAGAACGTTTACCAAACACTGTAACGGCAAATCAAGCAGAGAGCAAACCTTAAAGGGAAAACCTGGGAGCCAAAGGACTAACACCACCCCAGTAAAACTGTCCTAAGCACATCAAGGACCACAAGCCTGGAGGCTGATGATGGCTCTTGATGGGCTTCCCTCCCCCTGATGAGAACACCTCTTAGCTCTCTGTGCTCAGCCCGAGGAAGGAAAAGGCGACAGCCCCCCACCTTGACATCCGTAGGCATGCCTCTAGAAGGGCTCATTTCTTGTTGCTTTAGAGACACTGCCTGGCCAGTTACACCACCTACAACATTCTGACTTCATGCACCCCTACCCACACCAAGCTGGGACACACGGAATAAATGTGGAGGCTCAGGTGACCTTTCACACTCACACACTGCTACCACTGCAGCTACTGACATCTAGCTGTCGTCTTGAAGCTGCCCCAAGGGTCAGGGCGTAAGGTTCTTGTTCTATGGAGGTACTACGGAAGACATTTCTGGTGACAGAGTATTTCAAATAGGTAAAGCACAGCAGAACATGCTGTTGACAACCTGAGGAGAATCATCCCCCAGGCATATCAGCAACAAGGACTAAGGTGGTTGATTTAAGTTGCCTTTGAGTTACATTCCCATTGAAATACACCACCACCAGACACTTCTCTGAAGTGAAGGCTGACAGCAGCGTACAAGGACAGTCCTTTTCTGGACACCTCACTCCTGGGCAGAAATCCTAGAGACTTCATTTAATGCCAGGAATCCAAGGAGCTACAATACGCTTTTTAACGCCAGCACAGCAAACAAAAAGTGACACTGAAACCCCTGAGGCACTAACGAACAGCACAAGGGCTCCCGCTGAGCCCACTACCCCTCACAGACCAGACACCTCTTAAAAAGAGGTTCCTGCAAAGAAGCCATGGGCAGAAGATAACCCTGGCAAGTCCGGCACAAGCAACCAATGTAGAAACGGCACCGCTGACCCTCCTCCTGCTCCTCCCACGAGCTCTTTACCAGCCACACTGTCCTGGGTTTAGCAGCAGCAGTCATTTTTCTCCTTCTTGGTAGCTGGTGCAGTGCTGTGTTTTGACTTTCATCTGGGAACAGAGCTGAAAAACAATGATGTTTTGGTTTGGACAAGGACTTTGTGGGCCTCATGCTCTGCCAGGGAGGAGGGGAAGCCGGGAGGAAGCAGAGACAGGACACCTGACCCAAACTGACCAAAGAGGTATTCCATACCACAGCACGTCATGCCCAGGATGTAACTGGGAGAGGGACCCGGAAGGGGGCTAGAGTGGACTGCAGGGTTGGAGGAGGTATCGGTCGGTGCTTGGTTGGGCTGGGGGGGGCGAGTTATCAGTCACCTGGTGATGGGGTGTTGTATTCTCTTCCCTTGTTATTTCCTTTATCATTACTATTATTGGTGGCAGCAGTAGTGATTTGTGTTATACCTTAGTTACTAAACTGTTCTTATCTCAACCCGTGGGAGTTGCATTCTTTTTGATTCTCCTCTCCGTCCCTCCGAGAGTAGGGGGAGGGCAAGAAGGGTGGGGGGGAGTGAGTGGACAAGCTGTCTGGCATTGGTTAAACCACGACAGTTCTTTTCCATCGCGGGGCTGAGCTAGCTGGGCATACCACTTGGCTACCTTTGACTCCAGTTCATACTGAAGTTCTAGCATGTCTGGTACGGCAGCACTCAAGGGACTACGGCCACACCACCCTGAAAACGCTCGATCTCGTCTGATCTCAGAAGCTAAGCAGGGTCGGGCTCGGTTAGTGCTTGTATGGGAGACCTCCTGGGAATCCCAGGTGCTGTAGGCTATTTTTATCCACCCCTTATTCCATACCATTCACGTCATGCTCAGATCCCACATTTTCAATATACCATCACTCTGATCTAAGTGCAACTCTCATCACAGTGCATGAGCCAGTCCCTATAAAGCTGCTGAGTCCATCTGGTCCATGATGTTAGGCTCCATCTCTTGTAATAGTCTTTCAGAGCAGGAGAGGCTGTGTGCAGTGTTCACACTCTTGAATAACCTGGGCAATAGTGTCTGATAGCGGAACAGACTCCACAACTTGGTTAAAGTTGTAAAGTAGGTATGCTTTATTCAGCTGAAGACGCACGGGGGATTGGTCCTCCAAAAGGCATGCGTGCCTCAGTGCCGTTTTCCTTTTACATTTATCTTGTAAAGTCATACATATGTATTAGGTCGCACAATACGCCTATACATATTCATATTCTATCCCCGCTTCGTATTATAATGAGCTAAAAGGCTCTCCACGCATGCGCAGTGCCTCCTGCTGGTCTTGGGCAGGGGTCTTCAGATGAAGTAAACGAGTCTTCCTCAGGCTTGAACTTTTTACCTCTGGTCCTCACGCATGCTCTTTAGGAGCTGGATGGGTCTGGTCCATGTCTAGCTGGTTTAATGAGCTATTCCCTTTGTTAGGAAGCTTTATCTTAGTACTGCCTGATAAGGCATCTGCTGAGCTTGTCAAGCCAGCTATGACTTAAGCAGTACCCCCCTGTACATTTTGTCTAACCCCCTTGTACAACCACCCCTGTACACAATAGGCCACAGCAGTTTCACGTAGGAATGATTCATGTCAGCAACTTAGGAGTTCTTGCCATCATTGTACTTTGGGTGGAATCGAAAATCCTTGAAATCATTGTATCATGTGTAGAATGTATAGGAATGATCAGATTAAGATAGATGTTCCTGTCAATACAATGATGAAAGAGATGTGATAAACTATAGACTAGGGTATTGTTTATTAAGGTTTATGTTAAGCCCAATGTAAAGGTTAGGCAACAAATGATATGAAATCGCTTATGCAAACAGCCACCAGACACAGCTTACGCAAGATAAGATAACCGCAATCGCTTACACAACTAAACCAGATACCGATTGTGCAAACTGAAGATAACTGCAAGATGCTCCAGGAAATGGAAGAAAGTGAGATAACAACTCCATAAAAGGACATATGAGTAAAAGGTCAACTATGTGAAGCATGAGCAGAGTACCTCCACTACTTCATGAACACGGAAGTAAAGATGTATAAAAAGGGGCAGTTTGAACTGCTCTTCACGGCAGTTGGCGGAGCGCAGACTCCCCTGTCGTCCAGCGCTGTTTTTGCTCATATTCTACTTGCTATAATTAATAAAATTTTAATTGGATTATGATCCGTTGTGGTCTCAATTCATAACAATTTCTGGTGCCGTGACTCGGATTAGGAACGGTGGGCTTTGGTCCTCCGGGGAGGCGCCCCGCGACATTCCGCTGCCCCGTGACCAACAGCTTACCCCAACCTTGCCGACGAACCTAAATTCTAGAATAATGAGCAAAGGAAAAACCGGTAAAATCCCATAAAAATTCTGTGCACGGGAGTCTGGGCGAAGACGCAGGACGCGTAAGTATATTGCGAAGTTGTTCGCGGGTTTGCCGTTCAGGCGGGATTGGGTTTCCTGGAATATAACGAATGAGAGGTTCGATATACTGAACCAAGCGAGTGTGGACCCTTAAGTACTGCGTTTCCCATCTCCCGCGAGGGACTGGGCCAGGAACAAGGGGAGCGAGTGAGTGGATGTTTGTAGATATTCCAGAAGATGGGGACGAAGGGCAGCAAGCCTTCGACTCCCATGGGAAGGGTACCCACTGTACCTAAGAATACCCCTCTGGCATATATCTTAGACAATTGGAGAATATTGTACTAAGATATGGGGAGGGAAGAAGATTTCTAAGAATACCCCTCTGGCATATATCTTAGACAATTAGCAGAAAATGATAGAATATTGTACTAAGATATGGGGAGGGAAGAAGATTTCTAAAAATGTCTTTTGGCCAGTTTATGGGTCAGAAGAAGATTGGGTAAGACAGCAATTAAACCTCTGGGTTAATAATAAAAAAAAAAACAAACCTCCTTAACCCGGAGGAGAGTCAATATCCGGAAGTGTGGCTAGAAAGACTGGGAACTAGACTTTATCCGCTGAATGAAATAAAAAAAAACTAAACAAAAGAAAAAGAAGGAAGAGTTAGACGAAACCCTTCTAACCCCCTCTCCTTACATTCCTCCTCCTGTTCCTGCAACCCCTCCAGAGGTCCCCAGAGCGCCCACTCACCCACCAGGATCGGAACAAGGGTCTCCCCCTCCTCCTAGACGCGTAACTAGAAGTCAAAAAGGGGCAGCTCAGATGTACCCCCTAAGGGAAATACCCATGGGGGGACCTCAACCTGTGATTGGATATATTTCCGTACCCTTAAACTCGGCTGACCTACGAGATTTTAAAAGAACCAAGATGGGAAACTTAATTGAGGACCCACTTGGAGTAGCAGAAAGACTAGATCAATTTTTGGGACCAAACCTTTATACTTGGGATGAGATGCAATCTATCCTTGGTCAATTATTTACTACCGAGGAAAGAGATATGATTAGATGAGCAGGAATGAGACTGTGGGATGCTCAACATGACCAGGGACCTCAAGCAGATATTAAATGGCCACTCCAAAGACCTAATTGGGATAATCAGGATCCGGTGCATAGAACTCATATGCAGGACCTGAGAACTATAGTAATTGAGGGAATTAGAGAAGCAGTACCCCGTGGCCAGAATATCAATAAAGCATTTAATGGAATGCAAAAGAAAGATGAAAGCCCTACTGAGTGGCTGGAACAACTGAGGAAAGCCCTTGTACTCTGGGGTAAATCCAGAATATTTAAGCATTCTGTTGAAGCCTATGAAAAACAAACAAACAAACAAAAAAAACAACCTGGAACTTAATTATGTAATATATACACTATATTGTATATAAATAATTTGGCCTATGAATAGGAAATAGTTTTTCTAAATTAAATGTTTTGATGAAGATAAATAATTTCATTTTTTTGTATGATTAAATTTTATCTGGGTAATCTAGCATTTCTATTCCAATTGATATCTACTCTTAAAAAAAGTAAAATGTAATAATTGCTTTTAGTATGGCTTGTGTGTCGTATGGATGCTGGATTCCAAACTGGCGAAGATACTTCCTCATCTCCAATTTTACTCATTCAGATATGGTTTGAAAATTAATAACCTTACTTTTGCTTTTTGATAATTTAATACGAAGTTGATAATTTGTATTTAAAAAAAAAAAATTAAAGTTTTATTTACATTTTAATTTCTGTATTTTATCTTGAAAGGCTGTAGTCTGTGATAATAAGATTATTTATTTTTTTTCACTCTGGGAATGGTCAAGTCTTTCTACTCTAATAATTGGAGGGAAATCTTTGATTGCTTTTAATGGTTTTTGAAGCAGAACATCGTAACAAGCTTTGGGAGCATGGACTGATTGTGCAACGACCCGTGTTGGACTTAAAAATTCACAATGTTAAACCTGGGATTGGATATTGATTAAAGTGTGGAAGGAAGAAACCCTAAAACCCAATTGGGAGGGACCTTATCTTGTTTTGCTTACAACAGAAACAGCTGTCCGAACTGCTGAGCGTGGATGGACTCATGCCAGTCGCATTAAAGGCCCAGTGACGAGATCCCACTGGAAAGTAATCAGTACTCCAGGTGACACCAAGATAACCCTGAAAAGATAATGTAATGATAGAGACTTTATTTGATTTTTTGCTGCATTACCTTTTGGTATAAAGTGTGTATTGCTGTTTATATTTGCTATAATTATTTCTCTTTTTTTCTATTATATATGGAATCGTACAAAGTGTGTTGAAGGAAATTGCTAAACTTATGCAACCACACAATATTGAATATAGAAGATATGCTGATGTAAATAATATATGCACTCTAGATATACGAATTAGGTGTAATAAATTGAACTGCAATTGTTATCCATTTGCTTGTTTCAGGTGTAAGGTGTGCCAGGATAAATGGTGGACACACTGTGAATGTGGCTATCCTCCAATAGGAGTTTGCACACAGTGTTGGAAAATCCAAAGAACTCTCACTGAGTGGAAATTAAAACAATTAGAGTCTAAACAAGAAATTATTCGGGAATCCCATGAGTGGTGGGAAATTTTTGCCAAAGGAATAAAACCCTCAATATTATTGTTACCACTCCAACGAACCAGTCCCCTTTGTAGCTGAAATTTTGGTTATAAAGTGTAGAAGGGAAGTACTAACCGTGTCTTTCTTTGCCCCATTAGTTAAAGCTGCAAAGTGGGAAGCCTATGTAAACAGGCAGAAAGCCCGAAACAGCTGTTCTCCTGAAGAATTCCCTTGCTGCCGAGAAGATGGTACACCCCGTGGCTCGAAGCAACCGAGTCGACGGGCGAGGCAGAGGAGGAACAAAATGTGGAGAAACGACCCAGAACAATGGGACGCAAAGGCAGCAATGGCCGAACTTCCCCAGGACTGGTAAAAATATACTTAAATTGGCAAAATTGACAGACACCCTTTTCCTGGTATACCGTTAGTTTTGTTATTGATAATAACCCAAGCAAATGGAAACCCTCATGAACCTATGGTATGGAAAATATATAACTTACAGGAAACACATGCCACTCAAAATATTACAACTCCGGAAAAGGTTAGATCAACGTAAGAAAGATCGTGAGGCGGGCAGGTCATGGTATGAAAACTGGTTTAATATTTCACCTTGGCTAACCACTTTGTTGTCTGCTTTAGCAGGACCGCTTATTATGTTGATTCTGGGACTTATATTTGGGCCTTGTATATTGCGCTATATTTTACACTTTATTAGAGAACGGTTTGACATAGCTAAACTGCTTATTTTAACTACGAGGTCTGGGGCAAAATATAAGAGTGTATCTATTAATGAGGATGAAGATTATTGTGAATGCGTTATGCCACGTGAAAGCTATGCCTATTGTAATTGTGAGGTATTGCCTTGTGAGTGTTATGGTAAATGTTGGGATTGTGGAAAAAGGTTTGCTTACAGTGCCGAGAATGAAAGCAGCGTCTAATAAACAATAATAGGATAAAAAGAAAAAGGGGGGATTGTGATAAACTATAGACTAGGGTATTGTTTATTAAGGTTTATGTTAAGCCCAATGTAAAGGTTAGGCAACAAACGATATGAAATCGCTTATGCAAACAGCCACCGGACACAGCTTACGCAAGATAAGATAACCGCAATCGCTTACACAACTAAACCAGATACCGATTGTGCAAACTGAAGATAACTGCAAGATGCTCCAGGAAATGGAAGAAAGTGAGATAACAACTCCATAAAAGGACATATGAGTAAAAGGTCAACTATGTGAAGCATGCGCAGAGTACCTCCACTACTTCATGAACACGGAAGTAAAGATGTATAAAAAGGGGCTGTTTGAACTGCTCTTCACGGCAGGTGGCGGAGCGCAGACTCCCCTGTCGTCCAGCGCTGTTTTTGCTCATATTCTACTTGCTATAATTAATAAAATTTTAATTGGATTATGATCCATTGTGGTCTCAATTTATAACAAAACAGAAGAAGGAACAAAGGAATAATCCTTCCTAATCAAATGCTTTGTTACTTTAAGGGGTACTTTGTTTAACCTCTAGAATGTCTCAAACGCTTTGCTAATTACAGGAGTACTTTGTTTAACTGCTTGAATGCCTTGAGGGGGTTAGGTAATCAAGAGATACCTTCTGTTACAGGATGAGGTGAACCTTGTGTATTGAATAAGTACCTATATAAGCAATGGAATTTAGGGGGGCTAAGATGGTGGTTAAGCTTGTGACAGACATCCCCTGTTAATGTATTGCCAAGGAATTCAATGACTTTTTAAGAAGTTTCTTCACCCGAAGATAAGACCCCAGCAACAGGAGGAGAACAATGAAAAAGAACCACGTCGATATTCGGGTGAAGGAGACGACAGGATTGGCTGAAACCCAAGATCGAGGAGTATAAGAGACTGTACCCCAGAAATCTCAGTGTGCGTCTTGGGTGGAGCGGAGACTCCCCGGCGCACCCAGCTCTGCTTGCTTATTGCCTCTCCATATTAATCAATTGTAATAAAAAAATTAATTAGATCAGATCTTGGCCAAGATGGAATTTTTATAACAGTCTGATTTCGTGCTTCACTACATCTGGCGAAAGGCCCCAAAGGGCAGGGGCGAGGGCAGGGCAGTAACCCCCAGCTACAACAGCTCCCCCAACCTGGGCATCTCAAAATTTCACCACCACATTCTCGCTGTTCCAGCACGCCACCATCTTGGGTCGCCCCAGTACAGGCCAGGCTAGCGGCAGTGCTCCTGCGTACAACTGTGCGCCGCGCGGGGGATGACAGGAAATGTAGTCCTATTGCGTTCACACCACAGACATCCCCAGTCCCGGTTCACTTGGTGGGATCTTATGGTGTGGGTGGCTCTAGTGCGGCCCGACTTACTCGGAGCGCCTAGTTGCAGCAATTTTCACGTGGTTACGGCCCCGCCTCAGGCCCGTGGGGTGAGCGCGGTCGAGGGCTGTGCTCCGCGGGCCAACGCCCACCCGGGGCGAGGTGTCTCTGACCCACGTGGCCGCAGCGACGAGCACAGACCCAGCCTGCAGTGGCTGGCAGCAGCGTAGGGGTTAAAGGCGGCAGGCCGGGGGAGGAGGCAGGAGCATGCGTATTACTGGTCTCTATTGTCTCCGGTGCGGCGCCGAGTATCAAGGTGGCTGTTGGCGGTTAGCAGTGAGGCCGTACCTAGCGGAGCGGGGTCTTGCGCCCGCGCTGCCACATGGGCAGCAGCTGATTCTCCCCCGGCTGCTTGGCCGCGCCCCGGGCAGGAGCGAGGCGGGTGGAGCGACCTGGCTGGCGTCCACACACATCTCATTTCCCTCACCGTCTCGGTTTCCCCTTCATCTACGGGGCCCTGGAGCCCTCGGCGATCCTTGCCGGGAGTGACGGCGACGGCGGCGGCGGCAACGGCGGCCGCCGCCTCGGAGCACCCTCGCCCCTGCGGGCTCGGCGTGGGGAGGATGTTTGGGGCGGGGATGGGTTTTCACCAGTAGTTGCCCGTGCCTCCCCTGCTTCCTTCCGCCCTTTCTCGTTTCCCGGGGGCGGTGCGGCACCGTTACTCACTGGGGGCTGTCGCTCGCCTTCCTCCGGCCCTGTGGTACCCGTATGGGGGGTAAGCAGAGCACGGCGGCCCGTTCGCGAGGCCCCTTCGCAGGGGTGTCGACAGATGACAGTGCCGTGCCGCCGCCAGGAGGAGGGGGGGCGTCCGCCTTCGGCCATTACCGGGCGGCCGGTGGCGGCGCCGCCATGGGGCTACGCAGCCGCTCAGTCAACTCGGTGGCTGGTATGGGCATGGAGCCCACGGCGGCCGGCGCCATCCCCTTCGGGTTGTACGCGGCTGCGGCAGGGGAAGCCGAGTGGGCTCCGGGCGGCGGCGGCGGTCTGGTCTCCAACTCTACTTACGCTCATGGCAACGCTTACCAGGAAACGGGAGGTGGTGACCATAGAGACGGGATGCTGTACCTGGGCGCCAGGGCCTCGCTACCCGACGCGCTGCCCCTCCACATCGCACTGCGGTGGTTCAGCTCGCACAGCGGTGAGTGCTGGCTCCCCGGAGCGTCCCTACGGCTTCCTTTCCTTCAGTGGGTGCCCGGGTGTGGCAGTGGGCACAGTTCGCCTGGGACCAGGATGGGAGGGGGGTTGCTCTGTTTTGGCCGGCTGGTCAACACTCCTTGTGCTAAGCCTGAAGGAAAGACCTTCGTCCCCTCCCTGGTGCTGGGGATGGTGTCTGTGCCAAGGTCGACAGAGGAAGCTTTGTGGAAGGGAGGTGGCTTGACTCTGGGATGTGAAGCAGTGGATATCCTACACACATCCTCCCTGCTTTGCCCTGGGGGAAAGTGGTCTGAGGGTGCTGTAGCTTGAGCACTGGGCTTTGAAGACCAGGCTGAGCTCCTCATGCTGCTTCTGAAGGTGTTTGGGGAGTGCCAGTCAGGTGTAGTGGTTCCCACACCTTAGAGGCTGGGTAAGTGGCAGACGAAGCCTTTGAAAGTGAGGTGTGGGATTTCCCACCCCCCCCTTTATTTTCATCTGATAAAGGGCTAGAGTGAGGCCGAAGCGTGTTTTCTCATTGAAGCCAGCTGGCGGTGCTGTGGAGGAAGCAGAGGAGGAACTGCCTGCCTCTTTAGTGGGGCTGGGGAGCTTGCAGGAAACATGCCAGGTCAAGGGAGTTGTAAGGTTGTCCCCATCTTCACTCTTCAGGCTGGACCCTTCTGTGGGTCCTGGTCTCTGGAGAAGGAGCTCTGGCTGTGAGTAGGGCTGTGTCACTGACCTAGTTTTGGTTGGGTACAGGGAGCAAGATGGGAGGTCCTCCCTTTCCCTCCTTGCTACAAGGGAAGTCATTTCAGGGATGTCTCCTTGTGTTTCCTGGAATAGTCTGGGATTTTTCTCCCACCCATTCCCTTTGCAAACACTGTAAGTTCTCTTTGCATGACATAAGAGAAGAGATTCAGGGCAGCCCAAGGAGAAGGACTTCGGGGTGCTGGTCGATGAGAAAATGAACATGAGCCGGCTTCAGTGTGCGCTTGCAGCCCAGAAAGCCAACTGTATCCTGGACTGCATCAAAAGGAGCGTGACCAGCAGGTCCAAGGAGGTGATCCCGCCCCTCTGCTCTGCTCTCGTGAGACCTCACTTGGAACATTGTGTACAGTTCTGGTGCCCTCAACATAAAAAGGACATGGAACTGTTGGAACAAGTCCAGAGGAGGCCACGAGGATGATCAGGGGCTGGAGCAGCTCCTGTATGGGGCCAGGCTGAGAAAGTTGGGAGAAGAGAAGGCTGTGGGGAGACCTCATAGCATCCTTCCAGTATCTGAAGGGGGCCTATAGGGATGCTGGGGAGGGACTCTTCATTAGGGACTGTAGTGATAGGCCAAGGGGTAATGGGTTCAAACTGAAACAGGGGAAGTTTAGATTGGATCTAAGGAGGAAATTCTTTCCTGTGAGGGTGCTGAGGCACTGGAATGGGTGCCCAGGGAGGTTGTGAATGCTCCATCCCTGGCAGTGTTCAAGGCCAGGTTGGATGAGGCCTTGGGTGCCATGGTTTTGTGTGAGGTGTCCCTGCCCATGGCAGGGGTTGGAACTTGATGATCTTAAGGTCCTTTCCAACCCGAACTATTCTAGGATTCTATGACATGATCTGAGAATTTCGTAATACCCCTTGGGACAATGCTTCATCAGTTGAAACTGGACCAGTGGACAAGAACAAAGTGCAAAATGAGGCATGTGGGGGCCCATTTTCCTCCTTTTATCTTGGGATTTTTTCCCCATTACCCAATCTCCAGAGGCTGCTCTTCTTAGTTAGATGAAAGCTCCATGTCTTGCATTACATCCTCAATGGTAGAACACCCTGGGCCCTCTTCCTATTGATCTGGATAAGCCAGGTTCTTGCTGTCCTTTCTGGCAGATGGTAGTCCTTTTGAGAGTGTCAGTTACATTAAATGATAGTTCTCAAGCTGCAGTGCTGAGAGGCAAAGACCTGCTCATAAAAATAAACCAGCTGCAAAATGGAGTAAGCTTTTTCTGACAGCTCGAGTTAGTGCAGTGCTGCTAAGTTAAAGCCAGTGCCTTGGAAGACTGCAGCACGAGCTGTGGGAAGTGCTGCAGGAGCTGAGTTTCTCTGCTGCCTCTTTTGAGGCCCTCTGAGAATATTTGACCTGTGCTGAAGCAGCAGTGAGAGCAGTTCAGTCCGTGCTGAAGCCTCTCTTGGTGGTGGTTCTTCCTCATTGCTAACTAATAGTAAAAGGAGCAGAGGATGTTTAAAAACCATCCTGAAAACCATAGCAGCTGGTTAACCTATAGCAGGGCAGGCAGGAGTTACTTTCTTCTTCCCCCTTATCAACCTGCTCCTTTCATGGTGCTGAGCCACTCCATTAGCCACTGGAAAGTGCTGAAGCATCAGTGCTCCAGTAAATGGAGAGGAGTTTTGACGTTGCTGTGCCTGACTGTCCCTGCTCCTTTTGAAATATGACTCAATGGTGGGAATGAGGGGCGTCACCAACACACTGAACCCACTCAGCAGGATGTGTGCCTGGGGATCCCTGGGGTCTGCCTGAATTACTATACTGCCTTAGTAGAGGAACCCCCCAAACTCTGTGACTAACAGGTCTAGAGAGTGGATCCTTGCCCTGCCTGCCCCTTTCCTCCTGCCTCTGCACAGACTGGAGACTTGGACAGTGCCAGTGGGGAAGGTTGTGCACATAGGCTTGCTCTTCCAGGAGTACTTGGGTTTGGGGATAGAGCCAGGAGCCTCAAAGTGCAGCTTAGGCTCTGTGGGGACCCCAGTGGGACAGCAAGGAGCCCTGGCTTAACAGCAGTGATAAAATGCTGCTGTTGCAGCAGCATGTCTGTGATAACAGGATCATGCAGATAGGCTTGGCACCTTGCTGCTCCCTTTATCTGCGATACTGGGCCTATCAGCAGGGACCCTGAGGAGTGAGATGGGGTGGGCTTGAGATCTTTTCTTTGGCTGGTCTTGACTCCTTTCCCCCCTCTGCAGTTGAAGGCTTGCAGAAGAGCCAGGCATGCCCAGAGAGGGAGAGAAAAGTGATGGGAAGACTGTGCAGGGGGAGGTTGTGAAGTGGTCCCCAGGGCCAGCATGTGCTGCAGCATCACTGTAGGGAGTTGTGTGTCATGACAGTCAGCAAGAAGAGCCCGCTCCTGAATCCTCCAGGCTCTGCCACAGCTGCTGGGGTGCAGGGACAGCAGGAGCAGTTGTGTACTGATGGCCTTTGCCCTTCCAGGGTGAGGGAAGGAAAGCTGCTGCTCCTAGGAATGGCAAAGTCTAAATGTCTTTCAAATGGGGTGGGTGAGGGGGCTCTGAGCTTTGTGGTGAAGCTTGTCCCTCTCTCTAAGGCAACAGCACATCCTTGGGTAAGTAGACCCTGCTTCCTGATGGGGATTTTCCAAGGCGTGTCTGGATCCATGCAAGCAATGTAACTGCTCCAGCACCACCTGAAGCTGCTCTGGGATTTCCCTTTCTGTCCAGGGTTTGAGATCTGCTTCCTGCTTATGCAGGTGGAAGATGACAAAACAGCTTTTGCAACTTTGGAGTTAGCTTGTAGTGCTTGACCCCATCTCTGTAGCTTCATGACCATTAGGATTTCTCAGCAAAGCCAAGGCTATCAGGAAGAAGGGATTAAAAGGAGATGTGGTTTAATGCTGCATGCCTCCAGCTTTGTATGGTTCTCTTTGTATCACTCATGCTACTCATCTTCATCAGAGGATCTCAGGGAGTTTGCAGAAGCTGTAAATAGCTTAAGGTTTATCTGGAATTCCCCCTCATCACCCAAAGCCCTCAAGTGTTTGAAGCTCTAATAAATCCATGTCACCTCATATGCTGGCTAGCCCAGGGAAATGCCTAGCTCATCCTTATGTGCTGTGCTGTCAAGAATGTTGCAAGCTTTCCATGCACTGACAAAACAAGCTGTTTGTCCTGGATGCTGGCAGCAGCAAGGTCAGGAGGCCTCCTTTGCCAAAGGAGCTGCTACTTTCTCAGCAGCACCTTTCCTGGAGCAAGAGGACCCTGCCTGGGGAAGATCGAAGGGTGGCTGGTGCAGAGATGGCATCCAGTCTGTTGGGTTGGGTCCTTCTCCAGGCAGCTTTAGAGAGTGAAACAAGCTAGAAGTGCTCTTTAATCTGGTTCTGGGGTAAGGGATGTGAAATAGGGATCACTTGTTGGAGGATGAGCTGAAAGTCTGTGTAAATACCTGCACTGGGCAGCCCTGGTTTCTGCCTGGCTGGGGAGAGGCATGTCTGTGGTGAACCCTTGTTGTTCTCTGCTAGCTTCAGTCCCGAGCCTTTTCTCACTTGGCAATCCTCACTCCTGGGCTAGTCCTGCCATTGCAGTCTCCGCCAGAACCACAAGCCTTAATTCTAGCTGGCTAGTCACTGAGTCCACTTTCAGCCCTGACTTTCCTGACACCAACTTTTCAACATGTAGAAATTGTATGTTCTTTCCTCCCCCCTTATGGGTGCTAGGCCAGGGGAAGGGCACCCCAAGGTCTGCAGGAACTTGCCATTATGAATCTAGTTTTGCCAGTGGAAATTTCTGAAGGAGGCTGTCCTCAAGCTGTTTTTTTTGTGGGTTTGGTGCTAGTGACTGCCTGGCAGCTGGGTTGGGCATCCACAGCATTGCCAGGCCTGTGGATCATAGAATGGTTAGGGTTGGAAAGTATCTTAAGGTTATCTAGTTCCAACTCCCTGCCACAGGCAGGGCCACCTTCCACTAGACCAGGCTGCTCCAAGTCCTGTCCAACATGGCCTTGAACACTGCCAGGGATGGAGCAGACACAACTTCCCTGGGCAGCCTGTGCCAGGGCCTCAACACTTTCACTGTAAAGAATTTCTTCCTTATATCTAACCTAAATCTCCCGTTCAAGTCTGAATCCATCACCCCTTGTCCTATCACTATAGTCCCTGATGAAGAGCCCCTCTCCAGCATCCTTGTAGGCCCCCTTCAGACACTGGAAGCTGCTATGAGGTCTCCACGCAGCCTTCTCTTCTCCAGGCTGAACAGCCCCAACTTTCTCAGCTGCTTGTG